AATTTTGAGAGAGCATAATTCTGTATGTTTTCCATCAAATTTCATACTTTTGGTGTCATTATGATCAGGAAAAGATTCTCTATCTTTTCATTTTTTTTTTTTTTTTTTTTTTTTTTTTTTTTTTTTTTGAGGGCCTGCCGACCCTGAAAGGGTTAAACAAAAATACCAACCACTCTAACACTATATTTCCCCCTGCTTTTAACATTTCTGTCATGATCCCCTCAGTTCCAGCTGTTTCACCCACGTTCATTCTACATAATGCCTCACGTACTTCCCCCACACTCGCATCCTTCTCTTCCACACTCCTAGAAGATAGTATACCTCCCTAGCCAATGCATGAAGTTACCGCTTCCCTTTCTTTGTCCACATTTAAAAGTTCCTCAAAATATTCCCATCATCTACCCAATACCTCCATCTCCCCATCTTCTAACTCCCCTACTCTGTTTTTAACTGACAAATCCATTCATTCCCTAGGCTTTCTTGACTTGTTTAACTCACTCCAATTTTTTTTTTCTTATTTTCATTAAAATTTCTTGACAGTGCCTCTCCCACTATTTCACCTGCTCTCGTTTTGCACTCTCTCACCACTCTTATCACCTTTCTTTTACTCTCCATATGCTCTGCTCTTCTTATAACACTTCTGCTTTGTAAAAACCTCTCATAAGCTACCTTTTTCTCTTTTATCACACCCTTTACTTCATCATTCCACCAATCATTCCTCTTTCCTCTTGCACCCACCCTCCTATAGCCACAAACTTCTGCCCAACATTCTAATATGTACTGCACTTTTAAAACTATTCCAACCCTCTTCAACCCCCCCACTAGTCATACTTGGACTAGCCCATCTTGCTACTTTCTGCCAATAGGTAGCTTATGTCTCTCCCGAACTTCTCCTCCCTTAGTTTATATACTTTCACCTCTCTCTTACTTCTTGTTGCCATTTTCCTCTTGTCCCCTCTACCTCTTACTCTAACTGTAGCTACAACTAAATAATGATCCTATATATCAGTTGCCCTTCTATAAACATGTACATCCTGGAGCCTGCCCATCAACCTTTTATCCACCAATACATAATCTAACAAACTTCTTTCATTATGTGCTATATCGTACTTTGTATATTTATTTATCCTCTTTTTCATAAAATATGTATTATTTATTACCAAACCTCTTTCTGCACATAAGTCAATTAAAAGCTCCCCATTTTCATTTACCCCTGGGACCCCAAATTTATGTACTACTCCCTCCACAATATTTTTACCCACTTTCGCACAGATATCTCCAACCACAAGTACTCTTCACACTTGGTTCACAACTCCCCACACATTTACTCAACATTTCCCAAAATCTCTCTCCTCTACACTTCCCTCTTCTCCAGGTGCATATATGCTTACTATAACCCACTTTTCACATCCATCCTTTATTTTATTCCACATAATCCTTGAATTAATACATTTATACTCTCTCTTTCCTGCCATAACTTATCCTTCAACATTTTGCTACTCCTCTTTAGCTCTAACTCTATTTGAAACCCCTGACCTACTCCCATTTATTTCTTTCGACTGAAACTTTCCCAACCCCATGAGTTTTGTTTCACTTAAAGCCAGGGCATCCAGCTTCTTCTCATTCATAACATCCACAATCATCTTTTTCTTATCATTCACACAACATCCATACACATTCAAACACCCCATTTGACAATTTTTTCTTTTTCTTATTCTTTTTAGTAATCATTACAGGAAAAGGGGTTACTAGCCCATTGTTCCCGGCATTTTAGTTGACTTTTACAACATGCATGGCTTACGGAGGAAAGATTCTTATTCCACTTCCCCATGGATATAAAAGGAAAAGTACTAAGAACAAGATCTATTAAGATAAAATCAAAGAAAACTCGGATGAGTGTGTATAAATAAATGTGTACTTGTATGTGTAGTGTAACCCAAGTGTAAGTAAAGTAGCAAAAACTTTTGTGTAATTTTGCATATTTATGAGACAGACAAAAGACACCAACAGTCCTACCATCATGTAAAACAATTACAGGCTTTCGTTTTACACTTACTTGGCAGGACGGTAGTACCTCCCTGGGTGGTTGCTGTCTACCAACCTACTACTTACAAGAATGTCCATATATATATTTGATACCGTCTTTGTGATTACCTATTTTTCGGGAGAGGAGCAGAGCTAAGCATGTGGTGTCACATCTTCAGTGTTTGTAATACAGTTCTTTTATTCTCCATATCTTTGTATTGTATATTCATTTCTGGATTAGTTCAGTCTCAAAGTCCTTGAGAGGGCATATTTTGTATATTGGTGCTCACACTTGTTTCTCTCTTTTGCACCTTCTTTTAAATTATGTTGTTATGTTGCTACAAGTTGAATTAAGTTGAGCGTTACTAATTTTGCAGTAGTATTTTTGTCCAGTTGGTTTGAAAGGCTGTTGTATTACTGCATACTTTCCTTTCTTATTATTTAGTTGTTCATGTCTGTGATTTTTAATTTTCATTCTCACAAATAATTTTTTTTTTATTATAATTATCATCTCCTGCCAAGAGAAGGTGACCCAAAGAAGGAAACACTTTCACTATCATTAATTCAGTCACTTTTGAGTCAGTTTTATTAATGTATTTTATTTCCAAAAAACCAAGTAGGTTTTGATGGTTTATATTGAGAATTTCATCTTTTCTGCTGACTGTTTATTATTCATGGTCTGTAGTCACATTCTTATGATCATTCATGGCCTGTAGTCACATTCTTATGATCATTCATGGCCTGTAGTCACATTCTTATGATCATTCATGGCCTGTAGTCACATTCTTATGATCATTCATGGCCTGTAGTCACATTCTTATGATCATTCATGGCCTGTAGTCACATTCTTATGATCATTCATGGCCTGTAGTCACATTCTTATGATCATTCATGGTCTGTAGTCACATTCTTATGATCATTCATGGCCTGTAGTCACATTCTTATGATCATTCATGGTCTGTAGTCACATTCTTATGATCATTCATGGTCTGTAGTCACATTTTTTGATGATCTATTCATGGCCTGTGGGTCACATTCTTATGATCATTCATGGTCTGTAGTCACATTCTTATGATGATCATTCATGGTCTGTAGTCACATTCTTATGATCATTCATGGCCTGTAGTCACATTCTTATGATGATCATTCATGGCCTGTGGTCACATTCTTATGATCATTCATGGTCTGTAGTCACATTCTTATGATGATCATTCATGGTCTGTAGTCACATTCTTATGATGATCATTCATGGCCTGTAGTCACATTCTTATGATCATTCATGGTCTGTAGTCACATTCTTATGATCATTCATGGTCTGTAGTCACATTCTTATGATGATCATTCATGGTCTGTAGTCACATTCTTATGATGATCATTCATGGCCTGTAGTCACATTCTTATGATGATCATTCATGGCCTATGGTCACATTCTTATGATGATCATTCATGGCCTGTGGTCACATTCTTATGATTGTTGATCATTCATGGCCTGTTGTCACATTTTTATGATCATTCATGGCCTGTGGTCACATTCTTATGATGATCATTCATGGCCTGTGGTCACATTTGTATGACTGTTGATCATTCATGGCCTGTAGTCACATTTTTGTGATTGTTGATTGTTCTTGACCTGTGATCACATTTGTATGACTGTTGATCATTCTTGACATGTGGTCACATATTTTTATGATTGTTGATCATTCATGACATGTCACATTTTAAGTTTTAAAACTAAAGATTAAATAATTATTGTTAGTATTTGTCACTTTATTTTTTCAGGTTAAGTTTTATATGTAAGAAATACGTTGATTGTTCTGAACTGTGAACATTGTATGACTGTTGATCATTCTTGAG